CAGCACTACTGCTATGGACTGCAAGCGCCTGCAGAGAGTGGTAAAGACTGCGGAGAAGATCACTAGGACTCCACTGCCCTCTCTGCAGAGTATTAACCCCAGCTGGGTGCATAGGTGCCTCCATCCTCAAAGATCCCACCCACCCCCAGGACGGACGGTTCACATCCCTACCCTCTGGCCGGAGGTTCAGAAGTGTAAAATGTAGGACCACTAGACTGAAAAACTCTTTCTTTCCCTCTGCAATCAGACTCCTAAACAGCTGAGGAGTTTATTACCAGGAAATACGTGTTTGTACTGTCGACCTGTACTGTTTACATTCTCAGTTTGCACATGCATAATTGCACATTGACTGTTGCACATGCTGCTCCCACGCAGCATACATTCTCTTATTATATTCATATTATATATATTTTCTTATTCTATCGCTGCATTTGCTGCTTAAAGTGCCTTAGATTTTGTGTTACTTATTTATCTACTTTATATTTCACTTGTATTTTTGTGGCATTCATGTGCACAGCAAGTAAGAATTTCATTGTACAGGGAAACACGTTTCCTAACTGTGCATATGACAATAAACACTTTGACCTTGACCTTATAACTTCAGTTCCTTTTCAGAATTAGATGAATCAAACCAAACACAGTAGAATCATCAGACTCTGTTGATCCCGGTGGGAAATCCGCCAGCTACCCAGCAGGATGTAAAGTACTTCACAGTATAAGTATATAAGGTCGTTAACATCAGCTCCACCTTTACCAGCTGCAGCATTAAAGTGATGAACGCAGTAATGTATCAGTCAGTAGGATCCAGTAGTGTCAGAGACATTAATGTGAAATGAGCTGTTATGCAGAATGACTACTGGCACTGTTTGTACTTATATTTGAATACTTTTGTACTTTTATTTCAGTAACATATTGAATGCAGGACTATTACTTGTAACAAAGTATTTTTACACTATTGTATTTCTATATTTACTTAAGTAAACGATCAGAGTTCATCTTCCAACACTGCAGTATTACAAAGAAAACCTAAAAGTCACACTTGAAATGCAGAAAGCAAGAAATGTTGAGGAAATACAAGTGAAATTATTATTCAACAACCAAAAGAGTTGCAGATTAATCATCTGTCCATTAATTGTTCAACTCCATTCTCTTATTAAAAGTGTATTCAATGATGTTAATGGAGGTTGCCTTTAGACAGAGTAGCTGTACATGTGTGATACAAATGCACCATCCTGTGGCCACAGTGTCCCAGTGTCCAATTTTCACACAAATCGCCAGTTTCCACAAATAAAGAAACCAATTCGTGATGACTGACCCCGACTAGTGACTAAGAGTTTTTATCTAAACAAACGTTATCTGAGGCTTTATTCAATACGACACAGACACAATTAAATCCACTGAATGGTAGCAGTGCTAGACATAGCTGTTATATTTTAAAGCTAGACAATGTGTTAATCAATTGAGGAGATTAAATGCCCTATTTTGTTTGAAACCACCAAGTCTAATTTGCGAACTTTGCAATCAACAACTGATAAACGTTGCTGTATGCAGTTGCCAACAGTTGGCAAGCTGAGTTAGCAGGAGTGTCTGTACTAAGAAAACACTGTCATTACACATTAACATTAGCCGCTAGCTCGAGCAGAAACCAAGTATCTTACCGACTGTGTCTGGGCTCGGTGAACCGGACGCAGAGCCACAGCACCAGCCACACACAGATACATTTCACCGTCACTGGTGCCATGTGAGAAAGAAATGTAGTCTGCTAAAGTTCCCTCTCTTCCTGTTTGAGCACTCACCGTCTAGTTCCTCTTTTGCGGTCATCATCCAGTTAGCACACAACACCAAAGTAAATACAACAAACACACAACTTCCTGTTGTTTTACAATGTAAAAGTCGTTCGATCAATTTTATTTATAAATTAAAAAGTTCAACAACAATAATAAAAACATCCACAAAAAGCATTTTAATCATAATCTGAATCATCTTTAATGTCCAAATATTTTTATATTTGACTCTTTCAGTGTGTTGTAAGGCTGCACGCAGCAATCCATATACTGCGTACGAAACGAAAGGAATGGACAGAGGTATGTGTCAGGGAATAAATTAACTTTTTGAATATTACTGTGTGTTTGTTTAGCAAACTTTTCTCTGTTTGACTGCACTTCCACATCTGTCTTTCTCAGTTCCTGTTTATGCACATGTGTATCTCCTTGTGTGTCTCTGCAGCTTTTGTTTGCATGTTCTCATCAGTTTGTGTCTGTCGGTCTGTTCCTGCCTCCTACAGATTAACAAAACAACAAACGGCGCTGGTTGTGGCGGGGCTGCATGGTAGGACACTCGTAAGACGCGGCTTTCTGTCTCTTTGTCCAACATGGTCACCATACATCTATTTTTGTTTTTGTTTCTCATATCAGGTGGAGGAGTTGCGGTCACTAACCATCCATTCGGCTCTTTTAAACAAACCAAACGGAATGTAAAGTCCGGAGTTACCGCCTGAGGAGGACTGTATTTAATGTGACACACAGTAAGGGCGAAAGTACAAGGGGAACATGGCTGCTGGTATTAGTACTAAACATGGGTTATTACGCAGTCAAACATCGCTGTGCCATGTTGTTCACAGGAAAATTTTCCCCAACAGTGTTTGTATACAAAGAGCGGTGGAAATACCGAGTGTGAGAGGGACAACCAGCGTGAGAGCAGACTCTCAGCACAATGAAAAGTACTGTCTGGAGCTGGTCAGGTGAGTCTGACTGCACTCAATATAGCTTTGGAAGAATGACATCAAGTGCACCTCCTCACTCATATCCCTGTTCTCCTCTGCCTGTCCCCTGTCTCCTCCTCAGGTCCAGGGACTATGACGGCTTTGTGTCCTCCCTCCTCCTCCCAGAAGAGGCACGGCGCTCCTCTCTGGCTCTGAGAGCCTTTAATGTGGAGCTGGCACAGGCAGGTATTCCTACAGGCAGGCTGGATGGGAAGGAATTCTACTACTAGTACTGCTGTCTCTGCTGCTAGTATTACTAAGGTTACTGTTACTACTATTTCTACTACTGCCACTGCCAGTGCTACCACCACCTCTTCTGCTGCTGTTACTGTATTGATAAAGTTAAGTAAATGCTTGGAGTAAAAAAAAAAAAAAAAAAAATCTGTGTTGTGTCTGAAATCTGATCTCAGGTCTTTTCAAACTAGCAAATCAAACAATACAAAATTTGTTTCTCCATAAGGTGAAGGACTTAGTTTCCCAGAAGACAATTGGTCTGATGCGAATGCAGTTCTGGAAGTCAGCCATAGAAGAAATCTACAGAGACGAGGCTCCAAAGCAGCCAGTCAGCGCTGAGCTGTGGAGGGTAAATATCAGCCTATGATGAACTTAATGGTCAAATAGAGTGCATTTGTATTAACATGAACAAGTATTATGATTTCTTACTACTTTTAATTGTAGCCCACAGTGTCTTTTGCTGCTATTTCAACGCTGAACTTAAATTGGATGTTATCCCAGGACTAACAGTCTGAATCATGGTTTGCAGGCGGTGAGGAAACACTACCTGACAAAGAGATGGCTGCTGAGGATCATAACCGAGAGAGTAGGATACAAGTCTTAACATTTGGATGACATGGCATTAAATTTACCCACATGCAGTTTGTGGTTAACGCAATAATAATGATCACCTTTATTTGGCCAAGCATGTTATACACATGTTTCCAGTACAGAACTGAGGCAGCCTTTTGCGGCACCAACTCACACCGATGGCTCTGACCATCGGGGGCAACTTGGGGGTTCAGTGTCTTGCCCAAGGACACGTCGACACATGGACTGCAGGCACCATGATTTGAACCTCCAACTCTCCGGATGGGAGAATACTGCTCTACCCACTGAACCACAGTCGCCCCCAATTAATGGTTAACTAATGTGACTTTTTGTGCTGAATTTTTTTCTTCTCTCTTTGCTCAGTAGGTGACATAAAAGAACAATATCAGGTTGTCTTGAAATGAATAATAGGAAGGAAAGGGGAAAAAGTCTTCTGCTGAAAGTTAGTGTATGTTTATGCTTTGATTTCACTATTTATTTTCTTACAGTTTGACTAGACTTCATACGATTGAGCTGCACACAGTTCAGATATTCAGACAAAGCAAGTACAGTGACACGAGGTGGTTTGCAAAACATAGCAGCTCTTAAAGCCTGAGGCAAAGCTACAACACCCTACAGGTTTTAACAGTTTCAGACTCGTATGTGGCATTAAATGTTATTAAATCTGTAATACTTTTGTTCAGGAATGCTTCATTAAAAGTCAGTGTACTTCATTAGTGTAGCTAAGGTCCAGTGTCACTGTGGGCTCATGTGCTTTAATTTAATATTTGTTATTTATCTAACATTTCATGAGTCATAATGTGTTTGGAGAATGATGTGCATTAAATGTTGCTGATACTTTTGTAGCATAGTTACTTTGTACTGGGCGAAAATGTTCTCATATTTCTGATTGTAGTGCATCGCCATATTTCTCAGTGATTGTCTTCTCATTCCACACTGTGCCTGCCTGTTGTATAGTTTAGCTGCAAAACTTTGAAAACTCTCAAACTCAACAAAGCACCTTCTAGTACTATTGAGCCAGAGTGCTTTATTGTTGTGAAATGAGCTTCAGAGCCTTGGTGTCATCCGCCCGTCTCTAGTAGGCAGTAACTTTGAAACTATGTCTGTTTGGCCAGGAAAAGGATCTGGATGACAGAACCTACAGGAACCTACAGGAACTGGAGAGATATTCAGAGAACACCCAGTCCTCCTTAATATACCTGCTGCTGGAGTGTTTAGGTAAGGACAGCACATCCAGTTTGCTGACCCACCTGTTAGAGGTGATACAGACCATCTCTGTGGTTAATGTTTTACATATAATGCATCTATCCAAGTGGTTAGTTCTGGTATTTTCAAGTAAAAGCATGTTAGCCAGGTTAGGATGAAGGTCTTCAGTGGTGATGAGAGCTTCAACAGGACAATACAGAAAGCAACACAATGTATTCAAAACTGTGTGTGTCTTTGCAGGTGTGAAAGACGTCCACGCAGACCACGCAGCGAGCCACATTGGTAAAGCTCAGGGAATTGTGACAAGTCTGAGAGCGATTCCTTATCACAGCAACCGGCGGAAAGTCTACCTGCCCATGGACATCTGCATGCTGGTGAGTCGATGCCTCCGTGGCATTAGGTCCCTCAGGTCTTCACACGTGCTTTTATTGACTTGTCAGGTACAAACATTTCAGTTCAAAGCAGGGAGTACATCGCAATTCCCTTAACTGCATCCATGTTTCCCTCACTTGCATCTATTCCTCTCATCCCACCTACGTAAGATTCAAGGAAAAATGCGAGGAGACAGAACTCGAGGAAGCGTTTGAAAAAGTGGAACTGCAGCTAATGACTTGTTCCGTTGTAGATTAATTTGCAGGTCATTTCCTTTATTCACTGATGAATTGTTTTGTCTATGAAATGCCAGAAAAGTTCAGCAGAATTTTTAGAGCTGAAAAAGACATTTTCCACTTGCATGTTTTGTTGGACCAACAGTTTAAATCCCAACTCAGCTTACTTTAATACTTGACAAAGAACAGCAGCAGACTTTCACAGTGGAGAACCAGAACCCAGAAGATTTTTAGCATAGTTGCTTTAAAGGTGATTAAATTCTAAGGGTATTTGCTGAT